AGAGAGGAGGTGACAAGAGATGGATGGATGGATGGTAGAAGGGGGAATGGAGAGAGAGGAGGAGGAGATAAGGGATATTAAGAGAATGAAAGAATGAGAGATAGAGGGGTAGATAAGAAAAGCAAGGGGGAAAAGAGAGACAGACGGAGAGATGAGGAGAGAGGGTGAGAGAGATAGAGATCGGACTGTCAATAGCGAGGACAAGAAAATGACGTTGATTTTCTTGCCATGAGTAGAGAGCAAAAATAATCCATTAGGGGGATTATTATTACTTTTCTTTTTACCATCAACAAAATTCTGTAAATGGAAGTATGGGGGAGACTCTCTCTCTCTCTCTCTCTCTCTTTGTCTTGCTCACGTTCTCTTCATATTTCTCTCTTGTTTTTTGTTTAAGTCTTTCTATCTATAAGTTGCTCTCTCGGGACAGTCTTGACTTGCATTATCGATGTCATTAACTCCGAGACTTGAATTTCTCTATCACTCACTCACTTTCCCACCCGTTCACTCTCTCTTTCTTTCTTTCTACCCTGATGAGAACCTGACCCATGCAGGTCGTTAACTACGAGGTGAAAGGCATCGTTAAAGTCATCAGGAGGCGTGAGAGGAGGAAGAAGAGGAGGGGGAAGAGGTGGAGGGGGAAGAGGTGGAGGGGGAAGAGTTGGAGTGGGGGGGGAGGAGGGAAGCTTTCTGAAATAATCAACCTGTTAGACACATAGTTAGACAGACTAATTAACTGAAGCATCAAGGTTCCATTAGGCGGTTCGACTATTCAGACAGACTAACACACTGAAACCTCAAAGGTCATGGGCGGTTCATTTTCAGATTCGAAACACATTCCAAATTTTTATCTCATTTACATTTAGACTGACACAGTGACAACGTATTAAGGGTTGGAACGTTTTAATGGCTATTTCGAATCATGTTCCAAAGTTGTATCTAATTTCCATATAGAACAATACACTGAACCATTAAAGTGGGGTTCAATGCTATTTCGAAGCATTTAGTAAACCTTGATTGACTTTTCGAACAAATTAACTCACTAAATCACTAAGAGCTTTAAGGCTTCATTGTCGACTCGAAACATTTTGCAAAATTTTATCTAATTATCAGCTTCACCGACACACTGAAACACCAAAATTCGAAGCAATATGTAGACTACAGGTTTATGGTTGAATCGAAATATCTTGCAAATATTAAGTGCGTAGGTCAGGTGTTGTCGTCATCAGCTGTTACGATAAACGATCATATGGTCTTAAATTATGTCGGTGACCGTGTTCTCTCTCTCTCTCTCTCTCTCTCTCTCTCTCTCTCTCTCTCTATTAGAAAACGAGACAAAAAGAAGGGCTGAGCTTAATGGAAGTTGATGTAGACAAATAATGGAATCTCATACAATAAGCTATTAACCTGACACTTAACCTAACTATACAGACAGGCACAGACAAGTAAGTAATTAAGAAGGAAGCCAGACAGGAAGACAGCTACCCGCCCACTCACTCACCTACCCGCCCACTCACTCACCAACCCACCCGCCCACTCACTCACCTACCCACTCACTCGCTCACTCAACCATCCCCTCCTGCACGTGATCAAACATTCCCTGGCGACGAACCTATTCATCAATACACACATACACACACACACACACACACACACACACACACACACCTCCCTCCCCGTTTCTAGGAGAATGTAAATGAATTGAAATAAACTAGTTGACTGACTTGTGCCTGGCGCTGTGTAAGTCGTGTGTGCTTAATACACTAGATATGGAAGAGAGTTTATTATTGCTAGATGTACGTTATTCACTATGTATGTATGTATGTATGTATGTATGTATGTATGTATGTATGTATCCTACCCTCCCTCAACTTTGGGTGAACGAGATATGAGCGAGACCTTCCCCAACTACGAGAACGAGGTGTGAACGAGACTCTCCTCACTTCCCTCCACGAGTCAAAGCTCTCAGATTCACAACGCGTTTTCCATCCGGTGTTCCAGCGGGATATAGAGAGTCAGTGTTATGAGCCGGAGGAGAGAGAGAGAGAGAGAGAGAGAGAGAGAGAGAGAGAGAGAGAGAGAGATAACAACAGAAACATAAATAAGGGCCAAAGAATGACGTGAAGAGGAACAAAAGATAACGAAGAGGAAAGTTTAACAAAGATAACGGATAAAAGACAGTGTAATCTCACCGAAACTTTCCGTCTCTCTATCTCACAGTCTGTCTCTCTTTATCTCTCTCTCTCTCTCTCTACGCCTCAGGACTTCAATATCGACTTTCTTTAATTCTCTTTCACTCTATCTCTCTTTTGTTTCCATCTATTCCTTGGCTATAACTATGAACCTCTCTCTTTCATCTGCATATAAATTAATACCTTCAAAAAACCATTAAAGTTTATGTCAACACTCCTAACCCTCTACCCTCTCCTTCCTCTCTCCCTGCTTTCCTCCTTCTCTCTCACCCTCCCTTCCACCCCTCTCCCTTCCCTCTCATCCCCACTTCCCTTGAACTTGACCTCTTTTCCCGACACTTTGACCTTTCTGACCTTCCCAGAAGCCATAGAGGTGATGTGAGTTGACCTTTTTTTTTAGTATAGCAACTTGACCTCATTTGACCTGTGTTGACAGTAGTTGAAATGAACTTTATTTCGGCCTTTCAAGTAAAAAAAATCATTTATACAAGAAAACAAAGAAGAATTAAATAGACTAGACTTCAAGTGGCTCAAGAAAGTCTCATTAAAAGACTCACATAACTCCTATAGTCTAAAAAAAAAAATACCATCTTTTACTCTTCCTTCTTTATCTCGCCTCCTCTTCTCCCTTCTTACCTCTCTGTCTATTTCTTTTCCTCCTTTTATCTCCTTCCTCTCCCCCCTTCCCCCTCTATTTCTCGCCTATTCTTCCTCCACACCCACACACAGGGCAAGGTCATACGCAAGGGTCAGAGGTCAAACAATTCGATGAACTTTTGATTCTTACTTTGATCCAACCTCCCATCCACCCGTAACACCCACACACCCTCTCTCATCCAGTTATCCACCCATAAACACCATCTATCCACCCACACTTCTCCATCATTCTCCCTCCCACCAACGCCCCCACATGCTCCCACCTACCCACATCCACCCACCAAAACACCCACACCCACCCACACCCACCCACCAACGTCCCCATACCCCACGATAGGAAAACTCAGCACGGTGTTTGACAAGTGTTTTCGTGACAGTTGTGTACCATATAGTAGTATCAGCTATGACAGGTATTCGGGTCTTGAGTGTATTCTAAAAAGCATTTGATCCATTGTTCGTATTAAACCTCTCTCGCTGGTGTGATGGTTTGAGATCATTACCTCCCTACCATCACCACTCACTGTACTGTAACCATCACCACTCACTGTACTGTAACCATCACCACTCACTGTACTGTAACCATCACCACTCATTGTACTGTAACCATCACCACTCATTGCACTGTAACCATCACCACTCATTGTACTGTAACCATCACCACTCACTGTACTGTAACCATCACCACTCACTGTACTGTAACCATCACCACTCATTGTACTGTAACCATCACCACTCACTGTACTGTAACCATCACCACTCATTGTACTGTAACCATCACCACTCACTGTACTGTAACCATCACCACTCACTGTACTGTCTCATTATGTCGTCGTGTTGTTCATTCAGAAGCAGTAATACAGGTACAGGTTCGTGTACTGTTACAGGTAGAGATACGAGTAGTTACAGGTACAAGTATAGATACAGGTGCAGATACAAGTACAGGTACAAGATACAGCTACAGGTAAATATACAGGTAAAAAAAGAGTCATCATCGAAAATTATGTCAACACGACTAATAATTAATCCATCAATATATGATTTATTATAATAAAAATGCAACGACCGAGTGTGGGTACATTACACTCGCTTCCTATCCTAGAGGTTCCTGGTTCGAGTACAGTTTACGGGTACTGAGCATTATAGATGAGTACAGTGTCTCCTTGAGTACTAAAAGTTGAGTACTCGTTTTGTTGCATCCGTACTTCCCTTTATGAGATCAACTATCGTTTTCATGAGGTTATGGTGTAAACAAAGGCAGCAGTCGAGTGTGTTTACATCTCTCAAACACAACAGTTAAACTTCTTAAGTCCAAAGCATTATTAAATAAGTTTAAAATTATGAAAAATAAATAAAATAAAAATCCTCCCTCTTCACCTCCTAAAAAATGTATCAGCAAATTTCTTCCGTTAAATCAGAATTAAAGTAGAATTATGAGTCAAAGTTTCTCCTGGGGGAGGAGGGGATTAACAGCAGACTCATAAATAGAAGTGTTGATGACACACAGGCACTCACGCAAACACAAAGGCAGAAATTAGCACACACAGACACACGAATATATAAAAAGAATAGAAGTATAAACATCAGCAAGAGTGTGTAAACATTATATATATATATATATATATATATATATATATATATATATATATATATATATATATATATATATATATATATATATATATATATATATATATATATATATATATATGCAAGTAAATCACTGTAAGTGCGCGTGATGGTAGTATAATGAAAGATATTCAGCTAGTCTGCTCACCCCTGGAAGATGTGAATTACACGAAAGCGCTTGGGAACTTCGTGTTTTCTTCTTTCCTTGTGGTTATCATATATATATATATATATATATATATATATATATATATATATATATATATATATATATATATATATATATATATATATATATATATATATATATATATATTATTATTAGCCCAGTATAACCTTTACCATCCAGTGAAAAGATAACACTGTGAGACTCTTACCTTGGAGGAGCACATCAACACTACAGACAGACACTGCGGGTTTCTTAACATGAAATATCCATCGTACCTTCTGTCTGTCTGTCTGTCTGTCACCTGGGCAGAGTAAACATACACCATAATCATAAAGCACTAAGAGACACTCACCTTGCAGAACTTCATCAACACCACAGCTGACGTGTCACAGCAGCCCTTCTACCTGCTTGTCGCTCTCACCTGCCCTTCCTCCACACCTAATGACATACAACAAGGATTCAATACCTCTGGTAAGTTTAATACAACAACCACTAATACTATAACCAAACAAACAATAATAATAGTAATGTAAATTGTCATGTGAGATACTGAAGCAACGAGACAGTAAAGCAAATTATCATGTGAGATACTGAAGCAACGAGACAGTAAAGCATATCATCATGTAAGATACTGAAGCAGCACGCTCTCAATGGATTCATAAATACGTATAAAAAATAAATCTTTATCTACCGAGAGAAAGATTCGAGTGCTTGAAGCTGTTTGTGTTTACGTGTCTCTCTTGTTAACATACTGTTTATATGATATATCTCAACTCTATTACAAACCACATTTCATATTTAATACTTAATTTATATAACACATCAGTAATTATATATATCAACACAATAATCACCAAGCTCGTTAATTAACATCCTGAACACCTGTATGTACCCCCAGCTAAAGGTATGTTGTATGTTGACGACGGGATTACACCTGTGGACCAGAACCCACCTGTAGAAAACCTGGATATGAAGGTAGACAACAACCAACTATCCGTGACCCGCCTTCCTCCTCCTGCGGCAGGGAACCCGAATGGCCTATGCGACCACCCTACTAACCTTTCTACCTCCATCAACAAAGTCATTGTCTACGGCGCTCCGAAGGTGACCAAGGTGCGTGGTGGTGCATTATTGAGGTACTAGAGTATGTAGTGGAGTGTTATTGGGGTGCGAGAGTGTGTGGTGGTGTATTATTGAGGTACTAGAGTGTGTGTCGGTGTGTTATTGAGGTGCTGGGGTTCATGGTGGTGTGTTATTAAGGTACTAGAGTGTGTGGCGGTGTGTTAGTGAGGTGCTGGGGTTCATGGTGGTGTGTTATTAAGGTGCTAGAGTGTGTGGCGGTGTGTTATAGAGGTGCGGGAGTGTGTGGTAGCGTGTTATTGAGGTGCTGGGGTGCGTGGTGGTGTGTTATTGAGGTGCTAGAGACGACACACACACACACACTAAAACACGAAAACTAAACCAAAACTAAAGCACGAAAACAACATTAACTTAAAGGCTCACCTGTACTGTACATTACGCTTGTGTTGTCAACAGTTGTTCGTGGATGGCGCCATACATAACTTCACGCAGACGGATGACACACTGGCTCTCCACATAAAAGACATCAACTACGACTGGTGTGTCTCCTCTCAGCTCAATATTACCTGGGTGTGAGGCTTCGATCTCTACTTGTGGCAGGAGACGAGTTAATGGTCATCTGGTAAACATCGTCTCATCACCTGGAAATAATTCATTAGATAATACTTTGTGACATGTAATTATTATGTATATTTTAGTATAATGATTTAATGATATGATCTCGTCTTTAGTGTTGTGGTTGTGATTATAAACAATTGTCAGACTTCATATAGCGATTACACCTGTCTATTACCTGAACAACATAAGGTGTGATAATTTTTAAACTTAATTAGTATTTGTATATTATCTTCACTATTTAAATGTTTGTAGACGTACCTGTACTTGTCTTTATACCTGGACCTTCACTTGTTGTTTTTTGAATTTACAAATAAAATTAATTACTTAAGAAAATTTGTTTAAATGACTTTATACATTAAATGAATACATAGCATATAAGGTTGAATGATATAGCCAACTACAGTAGGTTTAAGCATATTAGAGAGAGAGAGAGAGAGAGAGAGAGAGAGAGAGAGAGAGAGAGAGAGAGAGAGAGAGAGAGAGAGAGAGAGATGAGAGAGAGAGAGAGAGAGAGAGAGAGAGAGAGAGATAAAAGAAATATCGAGATGAAATACTAAAAAAAAAACACCATTAGAGAGAGAGAGAGAGAGAGAGAGAGAGATTATCTTTAAAGTCTAATCATACAGTACGGTACCCACACGTAACTTAACCATGCACATCAACTCCCAAAGAGAAAAACAACAACGACTTGTAATTGGTGTAAACAGTGAGAGATCTTCCCTACACCCACACACCTGCATCTAATCAATTCCTCTCACCTGTTTTTTTTTTTTTGTATCTCACCTAATCCTAAAAAAATTGAGACAGGGAGATAAAGAGTAAAGAAATCTAAATAAATAGATAGATAGATTGAAGATTAGGTATATGAATATAGTTTAGTTACTCCAATATATCAAAGAAAATGGGATAATGACGTCATGTTGAACTAAAGGTAAACACACTGTGGAGTCAATGTTTACAAACACCTGAATAACACGTTACTGCGTGTCGTGTTACTGTAAGGTCAATATAAGAAGATCTAGATGATGATGATGATGATGATGAGGATGATGATGATGATGATGAGGATGATGATGATGATGATGATGATGAGGATGATTATTATTATTATTATTATTATTTATTGGCGTAAAATCATCATATAAGGTATAATGGCACTGACTCGATACACACACACACATAAAAAAAAACTACCCAAATCGAAATGCCACACGTGAAATAAAAATCATTCCTTAATACTCTAATTTTTACCTCATTCCTTACCCACGAATTCTGAGGATGTGTTCCCCCCCCCCCCCCCCCCACCCTCGTTATCCTTCCTCGAGTTTAATTTTCTTTTAAGGTTTACAGGTTAATGGTGGGTCTTAGATCAAGAATATTCACTGGTAGGAAGACGGAGGAATGGGAATAATGGTGGCTGTTATTATCTCATTTTCTTTCATCTCTTTCTCCTTTACGGTATCACACTCCCATTGGCTGATTCCTGTAGTACTCGCCAATCACAAACCAGATGACCGTAGAGCTATACGATTCATCCAATAGAAATCGACATTCATTACACAAGTCCTTATTTTGGGGAATACTCAACGATCTGATGCTAAAATTGGTTATCTCCCCCGTACATGTATTCATAATATACATACATACATACATGCATACATACATACATGCATAAAAGCAAGAAACACGTGAAGCTCAGGTAAGAATAGGTAGAGTATCCTCATTAATGATCCTGGAGGAGGTAGGATGATAGGATGATGGCGGGAAGAGAAGAAAGGAGGAACCATAGAAGGATGGAAGGGAAGGAAGAGAGGGGTAGTGAAGAACACAACGAAGAAGGGAAGGAAGAAAAAGATAGAGGGAGTGAAGAGAGATAGAAGGGAGGTACTGAATTAAAGCAGTAAGGAGAGCAATTAGAGAGAGAGAGAGAGAGAGAGAGAGAGAGAGAGACTACCTCAAGGAAGGAGATAATTAAAACTAAAATAATTCAACTGTTTTTCAATTGTAACATCACACAGCGTCAAAAAACACTGCCTTCGTGACGTCACCCCAAACATTTTTATTGACCTTGACAAAGCGACATAGTAACTTGGGCTTTATGACACCAGCCAAATAAGGTGGGTCTCCCTTAACGGTCGGAAATGTGAGCGGTCGCCAGCGAGAGCCAATCAGTATTGTAGTTATAATTCTATTTTTATATTCAGTGGCCAATAGCGTCCTCGTGAAAGGGGAAAGTATGAATGGTGATATAACAAGGGATAATCTTATTAACATCCCTGTCAGTAAGTAATGAGTGTTTGAATACCACCAAACAAAACACAAATAAAAACTCAAATCAATATATTTCACTTCATAATTGAACACAATTTATCAAACCTAACAACCACCTCACCTTTAATCTCTCAAACTTATGTTCTAAGTCACACAAGAAACAGTTATTAAAGACATTGACAACAACGCCCAACGTCACAGTTCACTTGATCAGTATCCAGGGCATAGAACTATTTGACCTGACCTGACCTGACCTGACCTAACCTAACCTAACCTAACCTAACATCTGGGTTTCTTGAAACAAAAATATCTCGTTTGTAGATTAAGTAATGTGTAGTTACTGTACCGATGAGTGTAAGTTACGCTTGGAAGATTAGGACAGGTAAATTAATAGTTACGACAGGTAAATGTGGAAAGTTAGAATAGATACCTGGTTATCATTACGACTACAACACAGGTACAGTACAACAGGTGACGGTACAGAAACTAATAAATAATATAAGTATAGGTCAATCTACAGGTACAAGCAGGATACAGGTCTAGATACAGAAACAAGTGTACGGAGAGATAAGAGCCTACAGAGGTACAAAATGGGAATATTAAGAACTGCAGGTAGATTCCTTGTTAGTCTATTACTTACCTCAAGGACAAAAAGTGTACCGAACATTCTTACTCACCCCTGTTTGATACCGAGCATATCCTACAGCCTAACACCATGAGCAAAGGCAATCATCTTGCTGTTTTACCCCGAGAGAGGATAACGGCAACTAGCGCTAAGATGGCGTTCACTAAATTTATGACAAAAAAATATCCTCTCAAACATAATGTAAAAAGTTTTAATGAATGAACAATCTTGTGAGGGTAGTGTTGGCAGGTGCTATTCTATATGTAAACTCCACGACAAAAACAAAATCGCTTTATAGTGGGAAATTAATCATAGCTCGAGTAGCGTAGTAATTAACTTACGATGTTTGAATCTTTTTCTTTCTTTTCAGCATCTCTGTATATTCCTGAAACTAATTATAATTTTGAATGTATACATGTTTCAAAACTCCACCTTACACTTACCTTGTACTGTGCTGTATACTGATGTCCCCAACCTGTAAAAGCATAAACCAGTGTTAGATACAAGTCTTTATCGAACCTGTTAAGTAAAATCTTGTAAAATTAAAACATATTGTGACTGCCGCCATGATAAATAGAAATCGCGTATCTGAAAATTGTATATAATATTCTTCACATATAATTCACTGAGAAATTTAAGATACACAAAATGCTAAAAATCCACTAATGATTAATGCCGCTCATTGCCTAACGTTCAATCTTCGGGTGCAACGGCCTTCAGTATTGATATTTTCTGAAAAACAAACGAACATTGACAAGGTGTTGGGGTATGACTGTTCACTTGTTAATAAAAAAAATATCCTCTCTACAGCAGTGTGATATCCAAGATTTTCTTTGACGGACAAAGATAAGAGATCTCTCTCTTCAAATACTCAAAACTTCGCCCAAGTTTTTCTAACCAAGAATACCTGGAAAAGTTTGGATCCACAACTTCCCCAAACATTTCTCCATTTTCTACCCTCCCCCACTCCCATCAGGCTCAAAATTAACTTTTAGTTTACAGACAGGCACCATGACAACAGACATTCTTACACCAAAACCATAATGTCCCTGACTGCTGATATTATCACTCAAGATATTTAACTTCTCGCACTTAATTTATTCACTCTTAATTCCACATAACATTTAAATAACAAGATATTAGTTTTAAAAGAAGATGAACTACATTCCTCGATCGGTATGGTTTTCATTTATCGCACTCAAATAACCAATAGGCTTAATTAGGCCAAATAACCACTACCTACGTAACCTACCACACAAAATATGACGCATTTACGTAACAGAAAATATGAACATCTCAAAAGCAGTGAAAGTGTTGTCATAATTATCCACTCATTATTTTTGTCAACTTAGAGAAAAGGAATTCGTCTCTATTGCGGGGATGTGATCAAACATAAAAACTGCATTACAAAAAAAATCATCAAAATTATAAGTTTTATTTTGAGTGGATTCTTGGTGGTTCCTACAATACGGTGAGGGACAACGCGTACCTACGCCAACGGTGCTACTCTGATTTCATTCCTTACCCACTTTGAACAAGTAATATTGTTGGTAATTTAATCAGTTAAAATACTAGAGTTTTTTTTTTTTTGCAAGTCAGCCGTCGGCGAACCATGGGGGAGGAGGAGGGTGTAGCGTGCGGGTGGTCGTAATCACATTACTACGCTATATAATACATGTCCTAACTCAGAACAAAAGCATTTCCCCAATAGAAGACAATATCTAAAGAAAATAGATGCAAAAAATTATAACGGAATAGTGATGTGTTGTGGCCGAGACCGTGGACTAGAGTAACGTTAACCCCCCCCCCATGTAGCTCTCTAAGGAAGACATTATCAAGATGGCATAACTATATTGCAAGACCAAAGACAATATAATCCTAAAGAACTTAGTGTTACACATTTCCCAATTCAGAATATTTTATCATTTATTAATGTTCTCATATATTTAGTAATTTCAGTTCCAGTGAATTGGAAACTGAATTGGTTAATTGATTACTTGATTTTGAGCAAAACCATCATACAAGTTTAAAATTGATTCAATGTGCACATACACAGGGGAGGTATAGTATACCTAGACAGTGAAGGTATACAACAGCAGTAAACAGTAAGCCAGTTTGACCAAGGAAAGCCAACAAAGCCATCACATGTTATTTCCAGTAACGTTGTGTCCTTTACAGTACTTAGGATTGGGTCCTAATTATTAAGAGTAAATCAACAAAACTAAACATAAAAATTTGAGAATGAAAATAACAAAAGTTTCACTACAGTACTGTGTTGTTAATGGTTAGGTTAAGTTACATCGACGACTCCCATACTGCTGCCGTACCTGTATCCTGTCCTTATTATACTGGGACAGTCATTCATGCACCCAAAATCACCAGAAAGATTCACTGACTTCTTAATTTCTTCTCTAATAAACAACTACTGTTGACCGCT